GAATCAAACATTGTATGCCTGGCTATTTTTATCGACTATCGAGTAAGTGGTGGAATACCATTCCGATTCCTTCCTGTCATTGATCTATGCCCAGTGCGTTGCGTTCGGAAATAGCTGAATAAATTTTGAGTTACTACAGGCTCGCTTTCCTGTCAAAATTTAAGACTCAGGCATTTCAGAATCAGCCAACATTCCATTCAGTGGGATTGAGTGCTGGGTTAGCCATTCTGTGACTAGTCTTTCGGAGCTTCTTCAATAACCCTTTGATGTTCTTCTATTCGGACAATATCCATCCGCTTGAAATGACCTCGAATTTGATGTTTCCAAATCAGTGATAAAGTATAGAAACGGCTCGGACGCGCGAGTTCGACTTTTGAAAGCTCTTTCGTTACAAAAGGAAGAGTGTTTGTATTTCAATTGCCCGCGGACTATGTATCAGCTATAGTACTGACGAACGGATCCGAAGCGAAGGTATCCCTGAAGGGCTGAGTTACCCCAACACTTGCATCCCGATGCTTTTCTCTCTGACGGCATCCTTGACCATTGGAAAATAACATACCAGGCTGCGAAGATCTGACATATCAATTTACTTCATGCGCTTATATGCTAGACGAGTAGAGCAGTAACGAGGTAGGCTTCATCCCCCAAGCTTCTCCGTGAACCTCAAGCTCAGCTCGCATATCTTGCGTCTGTCGGAAATTCAAACTTCACATCCCAACGTTCAAGGTCGAAAGCCATGTCTGTAGACGTTCGATTGACTCTAGGTGCTGCCTTAGCTGGATGCATCGTTACTGTTGGGTGAGGCTTCTTTCTCAATCTCTTTTTGTTTAGGCTGATGAAAATGACTTTCAAAGGCTGTCCGCTGTTCTAGGGTTTCAAACATTCCTGTACTTCCAAATCTTTCCCTCAGATGCATTTCGTTATAAACTGTTGGTTCGTGCTGTCCGTGCAGACTGGTAATGAATACCCCGCTGAAATTATGCTCTTTTCAGGTGGCTTGGATGTGGTACGAATAGCGTTTACTTCTGAGAGCCACACGTCTAGTCGTCTAATCAGGGGCATTGTTCAGGGCCACCGACGCCATTCATAGCGTGCTCATCTGCACTTGCATGTGGCAATATCTCATCTTGAACTTTACAGACCCACTTATTGCATGCAAGATATTTACGTTCGTTCTTTTAAATTTTGAAAAGTTACGCGTCAGTGCTCATTGGCATGATTAACAGAACTATACCAGTAAATGGTCGTCGTTTTTTTCACGGTTCCTCTCTAAACGTACTCCAGGTCTTAGTCGCGATGACAGGCATAATTACCCTGAGCGCTAACGCGTACGTAGAGTCAAAAGTCCTCTTCTTGCGCCATCTCCTAAAATTTCTTCTTCCAGTCTCTATGGTTGGAGAATACATAAGAGTTTGTTCAATTTTTTTCAATGAGAATGCACTCTCTGAATGCTTCAAATCACAGTGAGCAGACGTAACTGGTGGTTGACAGGGCCTATTGTACGCAAACGTGGTTTTCTTCTACCTGACTTGAGATATTAAGCGCAAATATGTTACAGGCTTTCCTCTGTCTTGCTCGACTGGGTACGCCAATTTCATTAATTTATTGAGTCTAAATATCATTGTAGATGTTGATACCTAACTTTTTGTCTGCCTAGGCCTTGCGTTTGGTAAGTTTCGTGTTCCAGAAAGCTTTTGATGTACAGTGTGTACTAAAAATAAACCAATAGCTTCAACGGTCGAGATGTACGTTAGGCACTCTTTGAAAATTTCGTTTTGACGAATGTTCCATATTTTCCAGGATAGAACTGAAGACATTCGCCGAATTCTCCGCAAAATTCAAGGTGAGGACATCATTTCCGCAGCCAGTGGTGGCCCGCAAACTGACTTTCGCGATGCGGATAAGATTCTATTTACCTGCGGGTTACTCGTCTCCGCAGCCACTGATATCTTGGTGTCCGGGGCTCGCTACTGGTACCTTCGGGACTTGAAACAAGGATATTTCCAGTGTGTATTCTTTCTATCGGCTGAAAAAAAAAAACGAGGCGAGACCTGAGACTAACTTGATATCATTATGAAGAACTCAAGAAGCTGTGGATGCTGTCGTAGTGTTTACAATCAACGATGGACTTTTAACATGGTAATGCCCCTCAAAATCGGTTTCTGCAATCCGCCTTGTTGATATGATTATTGTGCGCTCAGTCTCGTCGCCGTTGCTGTTGCTGTCTGTGTACGTTCTCAACCTGGAGCATGACATTGATAGTTATTGACTTTTTCTTCAGTGGTTAGCGATGCCTCAAAATTTCGTATATTTGGGTTTCTATTTCACGGTCCCAAAACGTATGTCCTCAGTACGGCTAAGACAATCTATAGCTGACTCCGGCTGAAAAACAGTGTATTCAAACTCTGTACTTGCCACGTAGGTTTCGCCCTTTGTCAGTTGTTCTGCCAGCTTAGGATCAATGTTTTGATTAGACTAAATCTCCGCAACTGGTACCGGCACAGATATGCCTGGCCCCGTCAAAGGGCGGGAGTATCCATAATGCGGGGGTCTGGAAGCGAACAACGCCCACATTCAGTATTACCGGTACCCATGCCCAACGCGTCGGCTGTTAAACGAACCAATTCTGACATCGAGAACGGAGTGCGTGTTGTTGCTTTTTTGGGAGATGCACGACAAATTTAGTGACTCAAACCGCAGCGAGTCGAGGTATATGTAGAACGTGAGCTGGATTACAGTGTCGATGACACTGTTCGCGATGTGCTCCAACTTCGAGGTCAGTCTGCCAAGGCGGAAGAAGCCAAGATGGAAGAAGCCTAAATAAGTTTCACCCGATGCGATCCATTCCTTTTTGTATGTACATTCGTTTACCATTCTCATTCAGTTTCAGCACAATGCTTCCATTTCCTTCGTTTGTCATCTATAGTGATACGCATCGAGATACGACGCGTAGATACCACCTTCCGATTTCAATTGTTTACTGTAAGTAGTATATGCAGACTTAACTTGTATAGACTTGTATAGAATCCTACATTTAACGAACTCGACACCCGCGGCTTTTTGGAACTGAGAGCTGTAAGATAGATGCTTTATACAAGTGCTCCTTACAATGTTACATAGACGCGTTCCATGTCACTAGGTGATCGCGTCTTGTATACACGAGCGCTAATATAAGATATGGGCGCTTAATCCAGTCGCTCTATGATGCTCTCCCGTCGGCTGGCCTCGAATGTTGCCTCACTCCGTTCGAAAGACATATCTATCAATGCTTTCGTGGCATTCAATGACTCGGACCTCCCACATAATCTCCAAGATGGCCCATTAAATGGCTGTACGATCGCAGTCAAGGACAATATTTGCACTTCCGCGCAGCCAACGACTTGTGGCTCGGTAATGCTTCAAGACTTCAAGTCACCTTTTGACGCGACCGTCGTCAAGCTTCTAAAAGAATCTGGCGCAGATATTATAGGGAAAACAAATTGTGATGAGTTCGGAATGGGTTCGCTGAATATTCACTCCGTACATGGTCCTGTCATCAACCCTTTCAATGTTGAAGAACGAAGGGTAGTAGGAGGAAGCTCGGGCGGATCTGCAGCAGCTGTCGCCGCTGGAATGTGCCATGTAGCCTTAGGAACGGATACAGGCGGTTCTATTCGTCTCCCAGCATCGTATTGCGGTGTGGTAGGGCTAAAGCCTTCCTATGGTCTTGTTAGTAGGTGATTTAAAACTGCTGATGACTCAGTTTTGGAGACTAATTATACCGATCTGAGGTAGACACGGTGTTGTTTCGTATGCCGATAGTCTTGACACTGTTGGTCTTTTGACGCGGGAGGTGTCGCAAGCTGAAAAAATCTTTGGAATTATTGATAAATACGACTATAACGACCCAACAAGTATAGATGAACGGACAAGGAATAGAGCGAAAAGTCTGGCTGGAGAGCAGCTTCGAAACTGGGATGTTCATAGTCGAGATTTAAAGGGCTTGAGAATCGGTGTTCCACAGGTAAGCCCACGCAGTTAAGAGTTTTCTCAACCCCGGTTACCCTTTGTTTGATTTAGGAATACTTTCCCTCCGAACTTTCATCCCCCTCTAATCCAATTATCTCCTCCACGAGACACATTCTTCACGCTCTCCGTTCTCTTGGCGCAACCATCCTGCCCGTTTCACTACCTTCGACAATGTACGCCTTGAGCGCATATTATGTCATTGCTAGTGCCGAAGGGAGCAGCTGCTTGAGTCGATACGACGGGGTAGAGTATGGGATGCGCGTTCAACCTCCCCCTGGATCTGACCTTACTTCGACTTCTAAAATATATGCCCACACGCGATCTCAAGGATTTGGCAAGGAGGTACGGAAGCGGATACTACTAGGGACCTATGCTTTGAGTGCCGAGTAAGTGCGCCTCCGTCCTTCTCGTGTACTCCTGTCGGTTTATCGACCTGTTGCCTTTACCCAGTGCATTCGACAACTACTTTCTCCAAGCTCAACGAGTGCGCCAAATGGTCCGTGAAGACTTCAATCGAGTCTTTTCGACTCCGAACGTCCTTTCCTCCTCCGCTTCCACCTCTGCACTAGAGCAGGTCAGGACAGATGGGGTTGACGTCTTGATTCACCCATCCGCAATACGCACTGCGCCTTTGCTGGATGACGTTCTTGACGATTCGGGAGAGCGAGATATCCTGCAGGATTATGTTCAAGACGTCTTGACTGTCCCTGCGAGCCTTGCGGGACTGCCAGCGCTTAGTGTCCCAATACACTCATCCCGGGCGACTGCGACCGGAGCAGAAAACAAACGGGAGACAGCTGAGCAAGAGGATGATGGTTGGCCCATAGGTATTTCGCTGATTGGACAATGGGGAACTGATGAGTTGGTGTTAAAAGTAGGCAAGATGATTGAGTGGGTCAGAAATTATTGAAGGAGATTAGTGTGCATGTAAAATAAATTAAGTGGAGGAATGTTAGAGACCATCCATCGTTGTCCATCTTCACAATAACCAATCCAATGTGGTGTAGTGGCTAACATTGCTGTCTTTCATGAGGTGGACGCACAGTAGCCCGGGGTTCGATTCCCCGCATTGGAATGTTGATTCCAACGCAACTTTTTTAGAGGTTCATTAACGTTCATTGCTGGGTGTTCAACCACATTTCGAGTAACAAAGTGTATTCACGTCTATTATTTTATGAATGAAAAGAAGAACTTTATCGGGTCAAGCTAATTCACTGAGAGACAAACGCTCCTTTGGAAGGTGCTTCAAGATTCGGAGGAATCCAGATAACGTTAAGGGGTTCCACACGGGTCGCGCACGGAAACTACTAGTACGGGGATAAATAGATACAATAAGTATTATTCCCATCCCTTGTCGCAGATACGTTTGATCTTATGCGTGGCTGATCATGATGCCTCCGATCCGATGGCGCCTTCATGTTCGTACAGCGGAGGAATGTCCTTGACCCTCATCCTGAATATATGTTTCTTGATGTTGCGTGGCAAGGCCTTCAACTGATAAGTCGCGTGTGTACGCGTAGGGACGCTAAAGACTTGGTCGAGCTCTTCCAGACTGAGGGCTTTGGTTTCGGGCACAAACAATAATGCCGCAACGAAGCCGACAATACTGGAAAGCGGTAAGCAACTGGTGATAGGTGCCGGAACTGGAATCACATACTTCCATGCAGCAAACCAACCAAATGCTCCTTGAGGTGTAAAGGCACCTATGAGTCGAGGTACAGTAATAGCAATGATAAAGTTGCTTTCGGGAAGAGAAAACTTGAGAATTACTATTTAAAGGACCGGGGGAACGATACTCACAAAAACCATAAAACTGCTGTAGCAAAGCTCATTCCCACGTCACGAATATACAACGGGAACGCTTCAGCTGAGTACTGATATTCAAAATAAGTGAGAAAGTACGCGATAGACGCGAAGGGGTACGAACGGTGAACGGCACAGGTCCTTCACCGGGACTATACACCATCCCGAATAAATATATACCCAAAGTGACGATACCCACTGTAAATAGAATATTTCAGGGCTAAAAAAGTCAGAATCGGTGGAAAAATTTACCTCGAGCACTTCGTGTTGGAATAAAGCTGGAGGGGGCAGACAATCAGAACGCTAACGCAGTATTATGTGTCGAGGATACATACAACGCAAACGCTGTCAACAGGTGGGATAAAGCCATGAGAGGGAAGGAGATCAGGAGGAGATTCCTTCTTCCGAAAGTGTCAATTGTCCACACTGCGGGAAAAGCCTGTTGCAAGACGTGTCAGTTCAGAATTTACCAAGTCATCTGTCTATGAGGCGTACAAAGAGGAAGTTGATCTGCGGTCCAAGAATGTACCAATGAGCATACAAAATCACCAGGCGGTCACAGAATGAGCTTACTAACCATTCCAAAGCCCCAGGAAGCCAGAAGCGCCTGGAAGTTGGTGAAGTTGGCTTGCGTGAAGATGTTTGTGGAATAATATGCAATGGCGTTCACCTAGATTTCCAGATGAGTCTTTTTGATTTGTAGAACAGTGATCTGCATTTACACCACAGAATTGCTGCATAAACATCACAACGAACGACGCTAGGGCAGCCCTACGGTTCCTTGGTACAGAAAAGAGCTCCAAGAATTTGCTGCGGTTGCGAATAATGTCATTCTCAGCCTCGAGCAAAACATGGATATCTTGTATCGCGGTCAGCGTCAGGATTAGAAAGTCGATTTCGGAGACACTCACAGTACAAGTCCCGGGCAGCCTGAATTGGATGATGTCTCAATTGGGCAAGAGAGTTGTAAGCGTCTCGGTAACGACCCTTCGACATGTACCCTTGTTCGCCGAGAATCAGTTAACTGCTTCACAAAACAAACAAAATGTCGTATCATACATCGTGGACCTGAAGATTGCGACAATCAGACAACAGAGGAAGAAATAACAACTTGGAGAACTCACTTTCGGGAACGAAAAAGACTTGTACGCAGACGAATAGTGCCGGTATTCCAGCCTGGAATCTTAGACTTCAGGAAAAGGCGTCAAAGGGCAGACGCATGTTCTTACACTGGCCAACATCAAACGCCAATTAAGACCGGTAATATGCGGCTTATCGGGGACTCGAAAGAAAGCCAGATCCACGACATCACCTAGCTCAACTTTTAGCGCACGGTGACCTTCCGTTTAAATGCGGCTGCTCACCAATCATAATGCCGAACGCTGTCCAAGTCTGCCACATCATGACAAGAGCTCCACGAATCACCGCAGGGGCGCATTCTGCGGCATAGACCTAAAGAGAGATGATGTGAATCAGCGACACAGGAAAGTGAAAATTCACTAACCGGAACTGCATATGGTGCAGAAGAAGGTCATTGGGGAGTAATTCAACGAATGCTCGACCGGACATTCCTGTAGAACATACCTGTGCTAGACTTGGGACCGATACCTTCATACAGGATTCCGTCAGTACGCAGTCAGGATCTGCAGGAAGTTCGGACCGCACCAAGGCCAAGGACAAATCGAGCCACGAAAAGATGCTGCCACGAATTGGTTACACCTTGCCAAATACATGTTAAAAAAGAAAACATCGCTGTAATAAAGATGGTCCCCCGACGGCCAAAGAGTCCGTTTAGCTGATTCGAGACCGTCAGACAATAAATTTGGGATATATACGGGGGAACACCAACGGGGACCGTCAACCAACTTCCGAGTACAGCACAACACAGGTAAGGAGCTGAATTTACGAGACCAAGCAGCCATTGATTTCTTCCCGCCACAGATGGGTTTGGATCGTTGACATTCAAGCCGAACTGGCCTGCGTAGAAAATATTTGCTCCGTTGCTCACCGCTTCATCCATTCCTTGAACGGCGGCGCAAGCGGAACTTGATTTCAAGGACACGTTAACTAACGACTCACAACACAAGAAAAGGAAACCACCAACCAGAGAATAACGAGGTAATACAGCATCTTGGGCTGGTCCCATTTGTGTGTTAATTCGCGTCTGAGCAAGTTCTTGTCTTGCTCGTCCAATTGAGTTAGATTTTCAAAGTTTGAGGGATCCTGCGCCACCAGAGCCCCCTTTTGGAACTCAACGATAAGATCCTTCAAGTCATGGGTCTCCGCAAAAACTTGTGCTTGCTCCATTAGCTGCTCATGAGTTAAATGAGCCAAAGGATTGGCCAGTTTGGCGTTTAGATTGCGGAACGAGTTCTGAGAGCTGGCATGTTCTTGCATCGATGGCGGTGCATTGTCGCGTTTCTCAGAGGTGGGTTTGTCGTTGAGAGCAGACATTTCTAGAGAGAAGACATGCGGCCAGTTTCTCCTCTTTTTATATCCCAGTTGAACCTTGACTGGAGTTGATGGAGGCATGTGGAGTGGACCGCATATTTCATCTATTTCACAGCTCCCTACCGACTTCCGTGGAGCTCTTCCCGAGCTGGAAAGCGCAAGATTTTAGGGCGCCCGACTGCGGTGGAGGTAGCCCGAGGCTAGAGCAGAGGTCTATAAGTTGGCGTACAAACAATCGTACGTGGCCGGAGTCGATTATGCAGGAGAGCCCACAGATTTTGTACGCAGATTTCTCGGATCCTTGCAAAAGTTGAAGCAAACACGACTTTAAGCGCGAAGACGTGAAGTACGCCGTTCTACGCGAGCTCGCATGTAAATCTTATTACAAAATATGATTTTGTAAAGACTCGTTGGTAAGCAATCATTGAAAAGTCAAGTAAAAAAAAGATGGAGTATTTCAGACTAGACTCGGAATACTTAGATATGATACAGCATCTTGGTGCAATGATAGTTGCCATTCAATGGCTAACACCTTTCTTGAGTACTTACAGTAATCCTTAGTGCCCTGCCCTCCCGGAATCCTTTCTCGATATCGATTGCTGTATTTGGATACCAATTTCTGACGTCATTCAAGTGGCTAATCTTAAAGAAATAATGTTGAGGTGCATCGTTATCTTATCTTTAACACAGACACAAGTAGGTAGACTACACTTACACACTGTCCGTTCTTTAGTATTTCAGTTCAACCTCCATCCCGCACTTTTTGACCCCTGCATAGTATATATAGACTGCTACGCAGATTCCCTCTTTTCAGACACTTTGACTATCTCATTCAAGCTTTGAGGTGAGCTACTTTACCATTCCTTTAGTTTACAAGTACACCGTAGTCTCTACTGTGGTATTTACACATAATACAAACACTTCAACCATCTTGTTCAAGCTCTGAATCTCTGCCGTTGTATTTACAGATCCTCCAAGCCACATTGAATGGACCATATACTAATTCAAAAAGTAAAACTGCCAGATAAATTCATCAATTTCAAATGAATCTCCACAACTTGAAGCCTGAAGCTTGTTGGGGTCCGGGATTGGACTTTAGCTTCAAAGAAACTTACCCCCAGTCTCTCCGATTCTAAGCCCGCATTTTGGAAATCAATCCGGTCATCATGAATGTCTTGATGGCTAAAGGTATTAATAATAACATATTTGAAAATAACATTTGTCCAATGTGGTGTAGTGGCTAACATTGCTGTCTTTCATGGATGCTCATGAAGCATGCTCACAGCAGCCCGGGGTTCGATTCCCCGCATTGGAATATATATTGTAGGAACATTGTTTTTTTCTTTTCTTTCTTTTTTTTTCTCTTCAGATTCAGTACTCAATGCTAACAACAACATTATTCAGCACCAGAAGCTGTAACTGGTCTACATTATCAGTAATACAAAAAATCTTAGTAACACATATACTATCCCACTCGCTCCTACAGTTGGGCTCGAACTTTGGAAAAAAGGAAAGACCCTACCTTCCAATTCCAAGTCCCACCGTTCCATTACCCTTTGCAGGCACGACAACCACAGCCATATTCCGCGCACTCCCGCTCCCTTTTTCGTTCCTCAGCGTACCACCAACTCCGGACTCGGACACTCCGGTTTGGGAAAACAGAGGGACAAGGGAAACGGAATATTCCACGTCGTCTCTTACTACTGACCCATCTTCATTCGATTCATCGCACCTACCCAACTCCCCCCTAGTCCATTCCAACCTATCCGTTAAGAGTGCGCTCTCGATTAGAGGACCGAGTATACATCGAAGAACGTGTAGGATTCCAAGCGCGCGTTCTAGCTTGCTTCGAAAAGGTTCCTCAACGAGTAAAGAAGCGTGTTCGTTTCCGTGTCCTTGTCCTTGACCTCGACCTTGAAAATGTGATTGGGTGTGGGTTTGATGTTGGGAATTCGAGGTTTGGATTCGGTCTGCAGACTCGGCTAAAGTCGAAACTGACCGCACCGACAAATCGAGTCCCATCCTCTTCGCCGCAATCTCCAAAAATCCATCCCAAGAATCATACGCTCGTGAAGGAAGACGACCGAGACGACCGATAGCGCCCAGTTCTGATCCTGCGAGTTGTCCGGTTCGCGAGCATTCCGCTACTTCGTCGTCGGCAAGATTGTTCTTATTGTTGTCGTTGTTGTTAGCGAAATAAGTATTGGCGTCCATGGGAGGAATGAACCCCGGTCTTCCTGATCTAGTACTACCAACGACGCCAGCAGGCGTAGAAGCGGGTGACGAGTAGGATGAGACTTCCCCGGATATCGATCCCCGTTGCGAGACGACTAAGACGCACTCTAGTAAAGCCCTCCAAACGACTTTACGAACCGCTAGGGAAGCTGAAGGTGTGATGAGATATTCATCCAAGCTACTACCGCTCGAATCGCCCGACTCGTACTGTGGTACGATCCACATATTCGGTACCTGCGCCGCGAGGTGATACGCGCTTGGCGGAAGGGGAGTAGGTAGATGGAAAGGGTTGCTGGGATTGGAAGAGGATGAAGGATTTGAATGCAAGGAAGGGTGGGATGAGGTTGGGTTCGATGTGCAGGGAAGGATATGATCAGAATGGGAACCGAAAGGGGAGGGGGAGGGCTCAGGGTGTGAAGGAGACAGCGGAAATGCGTCTGCCTCTCTCAGTAGATTATAACAACAGGGAACGGTTACCGACGCGATGAAGGACCATCTATTTGTCGGGCCATTGTTGCCATTCCGGACGCGTTGACAACCTTGGGTAAAGGCCCTGAGCACGTCCAGACTGAGAGAACCACATCCGTGCAGGGATACAAGTACCACCTGAGCCTGATCTGCTGTTGGCTCTGGTTCCCGCAGCTCCGATTGCGCTGACACTTCATTCATCCATTCATCCACAGCGTCAACGAGTCCCTGAGCAGAGGTGATACGACCAACTTTGTGAGTCACCTTGGGCCCTTCATATGACTGGCCGATTTCCTTCCGACCCTTCAACTTTGATTTTTTCGTCTTTTCTCTCTCTACAATGACCTCGTCCCCATCCAAAGCTAACACACCTCTTACACCCGCTACCATCCGCAACATCTCACGAGCGAGATGTCCCTGACCAGCCCCCACATCGACTATGTATACGACAGGGAGATTGAGAGAATGAACGATGGAAGCGACGTATGCAGCCATTCGTGTAACTTCATGTGCCTTTTTAGGTGACATTCCGTCTAATCGTTGAAAGGTTGTGAAATCGGGTATAGATATTGGATTGCGAGATAAGGTGTTGGTTGTGTATACGTGCACGTAGTCGATGAGGCCATTGATTGCTAATGGGAGTTTGTTTGAGATAGACTTGGATTGGGCGATGTAGGCTCGGAGAACATCTTCCCAGGTCCAATATTCTCTTTCATCACTGCATTTTACAAATCCAAGTCCTAAGCAGAGATGTCTGTCGAGTTCAAAGAGTACATTATACGAGCTTTGACTGTTGGATGCCGTGTGCAAGAAAGAAGATGCTGCTGCTGCTGCTGCGAATGAGTTTGGATGCGTTTCGAGAAGAAGTCGGATAAGTCGAGCAAGTTGACTGGAATTTATGGATCTTTTGTGAACCAAAATCTGAGGCAAAATATTCAGATAATCACGTACCGACCTCATCGAGGAGTCGAGGACCAAGAAAAAGCCGAGCGCTTAATTTCACGTGACTACCGCTTGGTACTATGACGTCATCATTTCTGCGCCACAAATGACGTCGAGCGGATAGTGCAGTGCCCGCTACGGCTTATAAAGCTGGCCCTCCACTCGAATCGTCGCTTCGCACAATGTCTTCGTCCGCATCTGCACCAACATTTCCGCCCACTGCTCGAGTATCAGATAAAGCTACCATCATCCAACAGCCTACAGCGACTCCGAGCATGCGCATGTCATCTACCAGCGACAGAGATAACGCACCGGTGCAGAGATTGAGAGGTGGTTGTATACCTTGTCCTGTGAGTCCGTCGTAGGGTTATTCGTATCGAATGTGCTGAATGACTTGTATTAAAAGGACGGAGGTTGCTGCTTTATCATCCCGCTTCCGTGCTGTTGTTGAACGCAATCAGAAATTCCACGCATATTTCACCAGATAATCATACCATAATGAACTTGAACAAAAGTAGATGCCATCCATTGGGAATCTGCGTTCTGACGATAGTTTGGACATTTCTAGAAATGAAGGACTCTGTCGATTATGTTGTACTTTAACTGTATTGTACCTTCTACGCTGCATCGGATATCTCTTCATCCTGTGATGAGCATACTCAGTGGCATACTCAATGCCGAGTTCTCCTCTAATTACGGTCTTGGTCTTTTCCAGCAAGTTACTCCGAGTTTTTGGGTATCAGCTTGAAGAACAAGAAACGAACGCTCTGAAGTCTTCACTGTCGCTGATGTCGTGCAAAATGCCTGCATGAAGTAATTGAGGAAAAACTCAAACTTGCGTTGGTGCCCTGAACGTAAGCCTGGCCGTCGTCGCCGTCGATGATTGCTGAGCGCTGAGTGTAAGCGACATTTAAGGTAGTTGAGCCTTTTTGCGTGAGATTGAGCGTGATCCAACCATCGGCAGTTCCAGAATACTTGGAATCAAGCTTTATGATCACTATCACCGATAAAGTGGAATGTTATGCAATATAATTTTGAATAAAATAATATATGAAAAGGCGGAGTACAGAATTCAATGAACTACCGTTGAACAAGACATTCCTTTCTGAAGTTGGACCGCTACTCTTGCACTTGGACTACCTTATTCTCATACTTAGAAGGTTCTCTGGACTCTGATTCAGAATTGCAATTCAAGCATTCCCCGGAGGAAGTGAAGCCCATTTTCAAAATTCATTGCGCGCAAAAAGTTGTAGTACCCCTTACTTTCTCAAAATCCCACATGATTTCTCCCACCGTTTCTTCTCTAGAACCTCAATGATGACGCTTTTGCCAATCTACTCTCTCGTTTAGACCAGGACATCGAGCACACGCTGGGTGATATAGTATCTAGGGGGAGCTCTTCGGGCATTAAAATGTATGCCCAATATTGAACTAGAGCGCTCGGAAATGAGTCGACAATGATTCTATGTTTATTACTTGAACATAATGGCTACTGCCGTGTCCACGCTCCGTCGATGGCCATCACCTTGCAAGTTGGTGCCCCTCTTGGATTTATTTGGGTCAGACCCGTCTCGAGCACCAGGAATCCAAAGTCGAAACCGGTATGAGTCACTGAACTCTTTACAGTAGCTTGGGCGCCTTGTGTACTGACATGAATACATTAGATCGCATTATGAACGGTCAATATCACTGTCGACATTAGGCATATCTTCGGGTTGTGACCGAGGGGTATGCTTCGTGAGTCGACTGTACACGACGAGCGGCGGGTGGCGCTAGGTGACACACTATTCACAACGGATCCGGAGGCAAAATCGAGCTGATGGTTGCAACTTGCCACCAGAAAGAGGGATATCTATTCGGCGGTAGTGTGGAATAGTATGGAAACTCCAAGCTATTCTCTTGACCCTGAACAACTTTCAAATCTTTGAATATCGTGAAAGTCGGTACTGATCTCCAGGTAAGCGCTAGCCCCAGGCAGTGTTCGCTTGTAGGGGGTCGATGAATGAAAAGTTGGGCGCTTTCAGAGCGATTTATCACTCCTACCGAAACATCCATGCGAGGCACAATAGGTGGGTTTTTACGGAAACGCTCTCACTTGACTCGGCAGTGCCTGCCCGGTTCCACGCCATTGATTTTTATAAGAATTCTTGTATCCGTTACCTTCATCATTCCCCTGCTAGTCTTTCTTTCCCTCCGCTACCACTCCTTTTTCAAATCCTTTCGCTGCCTATCTAGACGTCCTAGTCCGGGGACATGATGCTCCGCCTATCAACCAGCTTGCACGTGCTGCAGCTGGTATTGCTCGCTTCTGCGGCGGTCACTTACGGTGCATACATCCAAAACCGGACAATGATTGTTCATGATCGTCGCAGTGAGCTTCCGAAAGGTTATACTCTCATTCAGGAAGCCAGTCAAGACAAGGTACTCGAGATGCGAATTAATCTTCCTATGAGTAACCGTCCAGGACTCGAGAAGGCGTTAACAGAGGCTAGTGATCCGGATAGCCCAAACTACGGAAAGTGGTTATCTCAGGCAGATGTGAGTGGAATCCTACAGAGGTAACTCATGTACGATTGCTGTGTGGTGCTTATTATCTCTCCCCACCTCCTTCCCTCGACGACAGGTCGAATACTACGCTAGACCAAGCCCGGATTCCGTTCGTGTGGTCCG